CATATACTCGTCGCGAATGATCATCTACAATGGACGTACTGAAAGCATAGGTAGTAAGCATGCAATATAATGAATTTGTAGGCTAATCCCACAGGCACAGTCCCTTTTTATCTTGCAGGCCTAGCTTGACACAGCCTTTTTGTATCCGTTTCTGGACATACGATTTAGCCTGGTTGGGCAGGATCCGAGTAGCCACGCAGACTCTATGATTATAAAGCCGACACTATGGCTCTTATATCATACATTTATTCAAAATTACATTGGTACGGCACTATACAAGAAGAAAAGAAAAGGCAAAAGAATGGAATGGAATGTTACAACTTCTTGCAGACACCGGCACAATGTTGCTGAGAAAGTGCAAGCAAACTGAACGTCTTATCGTTATCGTTTTCTCCATGAGCATCAACTTCAGTGAGTTTCGCTCAGTCTTGTTGAGTCATTGCACGTTTGGTTCAGTCTGAACATTAGCGGAATTTCTACATTTGGTGAAATGCAATTCTGGACAGTTTTGGCTTGATGGAGTCAGCTCTTTGGTATCTGCAACAGTTGAAATCTCGTCCGAGTGCCCCTTCCATGCCATCTCCATCAGGGTAGTCTCGTACAACATTTATTTTCACTACTTTTGAAAAGCCCTTTTCTCTCAAATTCGGCAAATATTCTCGTTTCCTCACCACCGCTTTGCACTATTCCCAATATTTCTTCTTTTCGACTTGGAAAGGTGCCTCAAAGCTATCGTGAACTGTGCTTTTAACCTGCAGATGGACCTCTCCTGCCCCTGGTTGCTAACTACAATTTACAAATGCGAGAGGCTTTCCTATAACACCACAGAGGCGCCTCGATAGTACGACGAGTCCACAGTTAATCAAAGAGTTCCTGTTGGCAGCATAGGGTGTTTTTTTTGTTCAGTTGGTCTCTCTACGTAGTAGTTCAGATAAGACCTATAATGGTTCCGTAAAAGTTTGGAATCGTTCCCAGAATAGACATCGAACTATGACGCGGAGCGAGTGACCCATCAGGGACCACCCAGGGGCTTTACAATCATTATGGAATCAAGAAAAGAATAGCATTGCCTTGTTAGATGCAAACGGGAATCTTACCGTAACTCTTCACTTCGGAAATTAGTGTAGGATTCTGTTTATGAACGATTTATAAGAGAAGAAGGTGATTCTCAAGATTCTCGGCTAGGAAAAAAGGGAAGGAGGAGTCAATGTGTACCCAGCATCACCCTGCTGTTCCGAGAGAAAAGGCTTATTTGTTCCTTTGGTGACCAACGCTGTCCAAGAAGGAATTAGCTTTCTTGAGATATTGTAAAAGTGTAAGAGATGAGGCTACTCTTCGGAGATCACGCCAAGCTCAAAATAACCCTTGATTTCTTACGTCTATATAGATGTGTTGATTCCCTCTTTCACACAAGAATCGAACTATCTGATCCGTTCGCAAATGTTCGAAAGCAGTTAGAAAACGTAGCTACTTCGACGGAGAAGAATTCGAAGGATGTCATAGGAAATAGTAGAAGACGTTAACAAACCATGAAGTAGGGTGGTAGGCATCACTATGACGGTAGAGAATCCAGAAAAAAATTCATTGAAAGTGCGCAGAATAGAATCTTCCTTCTCTCAGTCAGTTCCTAGGGATGTATCAGTTACGAAGGAAGCAAGGACGCTGAACGACTGTGTTGTGGGCGAGAGGGAACAGATACAATCAATAGGTAGCAACCACTTCGATGCGCCCCACATGTCTCACTCGAATGCGGTGTGGTTGGAGGTGAGAGTGGCCCTTATCTCGTCTACTTTCGTCCAATGCTATGCCCTCATTGAAGCACTTTTTCGCCGGGACGTTGTCACCCGTTGCCCTCTCTGCTCAGTATCGACCTTTCTATTAGGTGTTTCAGACAGTTCTGTCGTTTTTCAGCGCTCAACTTTCAATGCACATATCTCGGCTCAAACAAAACTTTATCAATCGAAATAGAAACTATTGTTATATACCCACTTTTGCCAACGAGTAACAAGCTTGCCTATCACGGTTGCGTAGAACTGTGGAGAACTAGAAGCGATGAATTCGAGGAAGGTCG